GAAAATGGAGGCAAAGGGTGTTTTTTTGAAAGGACTGAAGAGAAAGTTCAAACAACGAATATGAAGAATGGCCAAGAATGGGCTGGGTCCCCGGGAGGCAGATGCTGAGGTGGCCTTTGTATCACAAGAGGCTCACTGATGAGAAATGCCCCTGAACAGCGCGAGGGGAGGAGGCAGCGTGGCCAGGAGGCCTCAGGGAGGCTCTGGAGATGGCCTGCTAGGGAGCTCCCTGTGGTTCGCATTAGGTCCAGGCCCTGCCTGCTTGGACACCGGCTGCGGCTGCCTGGATGAGTGTGTCCTCAGCTCCAGAGCCCTGGCACAGCCGGACAGCATGGCGGCTAGAGATGGTCTCTGCCCCTACGCTCCTTGCCCCTGCATAGCAAGGTCTTGCTTGAAGGGACACAACTGTCCCTGCGTCTCTGCCACAGGGACACACACAACTTCAAATGCTGAAGCCATTCAAATTATGTGTTATATCCCCCAAAACGGAAAATTAAGACAATACGGACCAATTCTTACAGACACATAACATATAAAAGCTAACTCCAAAAGAAATGGAAAGCCTGCTCAGCCTTGCGACTTAGGGGAAGTCACTGCCAGCGACAGCAGAAAACCCGACACCTCAGTGGCCGGACACACAAAATTTATTACTCACACGACGTCCAACTTCGGGAATAACAAGAGATCTCTTCCAACAGAAGACAAACTGGCTTCCTAATCCTGTGATGCGGCTGCCCAGGTCACTGGCAGGGAAGCTATCAACGCGACGCACCGGCTCCCATGCTCTGGCCTTGAAATGACTCACCTCAGTCCCACGCACAGGCTGTTGCTCAGCAGTCACACGGCCCAACCCAACTCACGGATATGCAGCGTAAAGGCAAGGGGGACATAAGGATGGTCTGTGTGAACAGCTCTGCCACATCCTGGAACACTGAGTTATACGGGATCGGTAGTCAAACCTCCTGACAAAGAAAGGTCCAGGCACAAGTGACTTCACCAGCAAATTCCATTAAACATCCATGGAAGACATAATTATAATATTAAATAAATTCTCCTAGAGAACGTAGAAAGAATGCACAATGTAGCTCATTTTACGGTGGTGTAAAGACACGAATCCTGACAAGAACAGCATTACAAAGGAAAATCGTACGTGGCCGTCACCCGTGAAGAGAGATACTAACCGCTGTATTAGAGCACGCAGCTACCCAGTGCTCAGGATGCACCAGACGCTGCCTGAGAGTTCTATTCATACTAACTCATTTTACCTTCACAACAACCCTGTGAGGAAGGCACTATTTCCCCATTTTATAGACGAGGAAATCAGGGCCCGAACACAGGTGGTAGGTGGTATAGCTGGGCCACAAAATGCTAAACAAAATATTAACAAACCAAATACAACAATATGTATGTAAAAGAAAATCCATAATTATTAAGTTGGATTTATCTCAGAAATTCAAGGTTTATTTTTAACAACAGCAAATTATGGTCATTAACCACATCAATACATTAAATGATAAAAATCATGTGGTCATCTCAATCGTTGCAGAAAAAGTGATAAAATTCATCCATTCTTGATGCGAATTATTGACAGAAGCAGCTTTAAAACCAAAAAAATCTATTACAAGTGGATAAATGGTGAGAATTTATCACCCCTTTGAATATCAGGAAGAAGACAACGATGCCCACTCTGTTACCACCTCTAATCAGCATTGCACTAGGGGTTCCGACCAGTGTAGAGAAGCAAAAAACAAAACAAAAATAAAAACATAAAGTAAAAATCCAGAGTAACAGGAATGGGAAAGAAACCCCATTACTCATAGAAAACATGACTGTGTGCCTAAAAATGAGAAAACAGCTACAGGCAAATGATTAAAATTACTAGATTGCTAGATACAAATTAATACACAAAAATTGAATTTCCATGAAATGGCAACACATAAAGGAAATGAAATCCAAGCACATTTTTAAAAACAGCATCACAAAATAACAAGGACCTAGGATTAAATGTAACAAAAGACATACGAGACCACTGTGAAAAGTATCAGGCTGTATTAACACCCGCTGAAGGAGAGCTATCATTTGGAGAGACAGATACCGTATTCAGGGTTTGTAAAACCCAGTATTGCAAGTATGTCAATGATTCCAAGTTGATCTACAGGCTCAATACAATCCCAAACAAAATCCCAACTCAACCAGCTCGTTCTAAAATGTATGAAATGTAAAGGGTCAAAAACAGCCAAGACATCCTAACATAAGATGGAAGTATGCACCCGAGAGTGTGTGGTATCGGCAGAGACAGACAAGGAGATGCAGAAACAGACACAGAAATCATCCTGACAAAGGAATCTTCAGCGGCCACGGCTGGGAAAACTGGCCTTATGTCTGCAACACAATGAAACTGGATCCTTAACCTTCAAAACAGGCACAAAAATCAATTCTGGGTAGAATCTATATCTAAAATCCAAAATATACAAAACTGTAAAATCTTTTGGAAGATAACAGAGTATCTTTATGATTAAGGCAGAGTAAAGATTATTAAAAATTAGTATCCAAAATGCTTTAATCATGAAACAAAATATTGATATATTGGGCCACATTAAAGTTTAAAATTTATCTTAAAAGACACCATTAAAGTAAAAAGACAAGAAAAGCTGTTTGCAAATGTAACTCACAAAGCACTACTACCCAGAATCATAAATAACACCTGCAAATAAATGAGACAGACCATCCAATAGAAAAGTAGGGAAAATACTTGAATAGGTACTTTACAAACAGGAAATCCTGTGAAGAGGTGCTGAACAGAGAGAAGCCAATGAAACCAGAAGGAGGTCTACCCCACACCCTCCAGAGTGAAGGGGCTAATACTTCAGGCAATGGGTGCTAAAAACATGGACCGGCAGCCGTGGTCATACACAACTAGTAGTCGGGCCTGCTGGTACAACTACTTTGGAACAGCTGGGAATTTCTAGTAAACCTGTTAAAAACAAGGTTAAGGAGTTAATGGAAACATGAGAATAATGGGATATAAAACTAATAAAAAGAATCAAATGGATTTTTTTTTTTGAGATTGAGTCTTGCTCTGTCATCTAGGCTGGAGTGCAGTGGTGCAATCTCGGCTTACTGCAACCTCCGCCTCCCGGGTTCAAACGATTCTCCTGCCTCAGCCCCTCAAGAATCTGGGGACTACAGGTGCGCACCACCACGCCTGGCTAGTTTTCATTTTTAGCAGAGATGGAGTTTTGCCAGGTTGGCCACACTGGCCTCGAACCCCCTCCCTCAAGTGATCCTCCTGCCTCAGCCTCCCAAAGTGCTCGGATTACAGGTGTGAGCCTCCCTGCCCGGCCTCAAATGTAACTTTAGAACTAAAAATACATCTAATTTCTGATATAAAAAATTCACTATACAAGCTTAACATCAAATTAGGCAAGTGGAAGAAAAGATTAGTAAGCCTCTCAACAGGACAATAAAACAGTCAAGGAAAGGATGAGAGAACAAGGATGAAAAAGCATCGAGTTTAGTGACTGTGAGACAGTATCACAGTCTAACAGAAAGCTGCCCCCAGACAGGGGCAGGGAGGGAGGAGTGAGAGAGAGAGGGGGTCAGACAAGAAATATGAAGAGTGGCTGAAACTCTGCCAAATTTGATGAAAAATATGAACTCACAGGTCCAAGAAGCTCAATGAAACCCAAACGAGGTAAGCATCTATAAGCTTAAGGTGGACTAATAGTAACATCTTCTAATGCTCTTACATACATAAATTATGTGATGACAACCCCATCCCAACCCTACAGAAAGTAAATTTGGTATGACACATTTTCCTGCTGAGTTATGACCACAACTGGACAGAGGTGACACAAGAGGGCAGCCTGAAAACCAGCAAGTCCTCTTTGGGGAAGAGACAGCAGAGTCCCACCTCTGACTTCCCTAGAGATACAATCCACACACACACACACACACACACACACACACACACAGCTAGCATACACACAAGCACACAAAGCACTCACAGCAAGGGCATGCATACACAGCTAGCAGATACACACAGCTAGCACACACACAAAGTGTGCACACACACAGTACACACAGCTAGCACACACAGCAAGTGCACACACACAGCTAGCACACAGATAAGGCGAATGCATGCACACACACCCATACAAGCGCACACACGGCTGACACAGTAACCGCATGAACACAGAGCTAGCATACACACACAAACCAAGTGCACACACACAGCAAGCGCGCACACACACAGCAAGCGCGCACACACACAGCTAGCACACAGCATTTTCTTCTTAGGCCTGCTCATTCTTTCCAATATCAGTTAAACGTCATTTTTAAAAAATGACCCTGTTTTACTAATCACAACAAGTATGACATAAGATATGCAGTTTCCAAACTAAAAATCTAGTTTTGTGTCCTATTATGATGTAATTTTCAGAACTACACTGCAAACAAAAGAGAGCGCCAGGGCTTGGGTAGATGTTTTTGCTGTGATATGTTAATATCATAAGACAGTATTTTCAAGGTTTTTTTCCCCCACATCTATAAGTGTTACTTGTGTTAAGTCTTTGAATTATTCCCGCTCACCTATCATGGTGCACAGCTTGTTCTATAAAATAATTCAATGACAAACTCAGTTACAATTTGTATACAGCCACTTAAAAAGTAACTTTTCAGGCCGGGCGTGGTGGCTCAAGCCTGTAATCCCAGCACTTTGGGAGGCCGAGATGGGCGGATCACGAGGTCAGGAGATCGAGACCATCCTGGCTAACACAGTGAAACCCCGTCTCTACTAAAAAATACAAAAAAAAAAACTAGCCGGGCGAGGTGGCGGGCACCTGTAGTCCCAGCTACTCGGGAGGCTGAGGCAGGAGAATGGCGTGAACCCGGGAGGCGGAGCTTGCAGTGAGCTGAGATCCGGCCACTGCACTCCCGCCTGGGCGACAGAGCGAGACTCCGTCTCAAAAAAAAAAAAAAAACAAAAAACAAAAAGTAACTTTTCAGAACAATGTATTGGTTTATTAAAGATTGCTTGTTATACAGAAAATTATTTTCTTTAATGATCATACATAGCTCTCTTTCACATCAGGCAGTAAAACACTGCATTTACTTCATCTCAGGATACTGGATAAAAGATTAATGGTCAGTTTGTCTCAAAATATGTCAATGTGTTTTGTCTGAAAACATGCAAAGGGCTTGCAGTAATCATATCATTTTAGGAAGTGCTTTAGAAAACCATGCTACAGGCCCTGAATACATTCCAAAACTCCTAAATAATTACAAACAGAAGAGAGAACTCTTGCCAGCCAGTACACTCAGTAAAGAAGGACAAAGGTGCAGACGATGTCGCTTTAGCAGGGAGCTTAAGGGGCGGCCCAGCTTCTCGGCAGGAGTCAGCAGGCCTGGCAGCCTCCTTGGCTGGTGCTGCTGTGTGGAAACAGGGCCATGGTCTTTTTGAGCTCCTGGTAGCTCCAGTGCATCTGCTCCACCTCGGCTCTGTGCTGCGCCCGCACCTGGCTCAGCTCCTGCAGCAGGTGTTCATTGGTGCTGACCAGGGAGCTGCAGAACGACAGGGAAGCGGCTTCTTGGCACTTCCGTCCTCTCCAGTGGTGTCGCCCTCACCTGCTGGGCCTGCCCACCTCCCTGCACGGGCACGAAGCTGCCCTGGCCCTGCACACAGACCTGTCACTGTGGCCCCATCACCTTCTGTGTCCCACTGGCTACCGCCCACCTGCCTCCTCCCTTCCCAACCACTGCCCTGACCCCTGGGAGCAGCCTTGGAGGTGCTGCTCACACCTATGGAATGAACGAATGAGCTGAACGGGCTGAGTGACTGAATGGCGCCTCTGCTATTCCAGCTACACCCAGTTTTATGAGAAGAGGATGATAAACTTCATGGCTAGCAAAACAATGTTCTAATTCTAGAAAGGATACAGAGACTGAAATATTTCTAATTCCCAGTCAAATATAATAATTTTGACATCGTAATAGTGTAATAGAAGAGTCCTAGTTTTTAATGCTTTTGGCCATTTTTATTTTAGAAATAAAGTGCTATTGCATTTTGCCAACTTTGTCATTTCCAAATTGCCCTGCTCACCCAGTCAGTGATGAATTGAGAACACTCAGGGCATTACAAGTATTAGACAAGGCAAGGCCCACTGACCTCGGCCACATTAGCCGCAGAGATGGGCACCCCACTGACGGGACCACTGTGCAGGGCCAGGCCCTGTTTGCTTGGACACCAAAAGAGCCGCAGGCCAGGACTGGATGAAGCCAGCATGAATCCTGGGGGCAGAAGCCTGATCCCACCGTGTTTGGGAGCTGTGACCCTACCTTGTCCACGTTCAGGACAGTGCTCAAGGAGCATGACCCCCAACTCCGCCCTGACCTGCCACAGACAGGCCCGCCAGGTTCCAGGGAGTGACGTGGCCCTGCCCACGACTGTGTGCACTGCACCCATGGCCGCCACAGTCCCCTGCCTTCCGCGCCGCTGCATCTCCTCTTGGCCCAGTCTTTTCAGGACCCTTCCCCTCTATAACTTAACTGTGGTGGGCCCACGGGGGTCTGTGGCCTTTATCCCGGAAGGGGCAGAGCCTGGCTACACCTATGTCCAGACTGTATTCGAACCCAGGTGAGTGTGGCAGCCTCAGCCTGAGGACTGGGGGAGGGAGGAGGATTGGGAGATGGGGGGAAAGGAAGAGGGAATGGGAGGGGAACGGGGAGGAACTGACCAGAGCAGCCTTCCCGGCTGAGGCCACAGGAACAGGGGTTCACACAACAGCACCCACAAAACCGCCCAGAGCAAACTGTCCTTGCCTCCTCCAGCAGCTCGCCTCTTCCTTTCTGCACCCAACTTCCAACCACTTCCTAGCACACAATTCTTTAAAGACGAACTAAGATTCTGCCTTGAAGATCCCCTCACACCCAGCCCCCTTCCCACCATCCCCCTATAGCCAGGGAGTAAAGGTGAAATCTCCATGTTTCCAACTGAACACGAACTGCAGTGAAGGGGGAAGCACAGCTGCCCAGGGGAACCAGGTTGCCCCGCCATGCCCGACCATCTCTCATATGCCTGTCTCCCCTGGTCACACTGCATGCAGGTCATATACCGCACAGTCCACAACTCACAGTCCACACTTCACATTCACAATTCAGTCATGCCTCAGTCACACCTCACAGTCATGCCTCACAGTCCACACCTCACACTCCACACCTCACATTCACAATTCACAGTCACACCTCACAGCCATGCCTCAGTCACACCTCACAGTCACACCTCACGGTCTACACTTCACAGTCACACCTCACAGTCATACCTCACGGTCTACACTTCACAGTCACACCTCACAGTCATACCTCACGGTCTACACTTCACAGTCACACCTCATAGTCACACCTTACGGTCTACACTTCAGTCACACCTCACAGTCCACACCTCACAGTCACACCTCACAGTCCACACCTCACAGTCCACACCTCACAGTCACACCTCACAGTCACACCTCACGGTCCACACCTCACGGTCCACACCTCACAGTCACACCTCACAGTCACACCTCACGGTCACACCTCACGGTCCACACCTCACGGTCCACACCTCACACTCAGGGTCGATACCTCACAGTCCACACCCCATGGTCACATACCTCACAGTCCCATCTCACAGTCCATGCCTCACAGTCACACCTCATGGTCAGACCTCACAGTCCACACCTCACGGTCACACCTCATGGGTCACACTTCATGATCCATGCCTCACACATCCAACAGCAAGAAGGGCCTCAGTTTTCAGAGAGGCAAGTTTACGGAAGTTTCAAATCAGCAGTGGGTCCTGGATGTCATCGGCCAAGACTCAGGAGCTGCTCCTCTGTGCCTTCTGGGTGTGACCCAGTCCGGCCCCACCCTCCCTGTGCCTGGGCCTTCTCCCCTCCGGGGCCCACCCAAGCCTCATGGGCAGGCACCTGTGGCTCTCCTGCAGCATCTGCGTGAGCTCCTGGATCTTGTCGTAGTGCTCCAGGTGCTGCTTCAGTTCCACAATCTCACCACACAGCCTCTTCACACTTGTTTGAAGTCCTGAAAGAGAAAGAAATAAAAAGTACCATTATTTAGTAAAACTCATTCATGCATTTTGAAAATGAAAACAATTCTACATTTAAACTAGATCTTGGTTACCAGAAAAAGAATATAGCTGGAAAAGATCAGTTTTAACGAGACTCAAAGACAGGGCGAGCATGAATGCCACGGCCCCACCCTGTGTGTTTCTACCCTGGGCCCTCCCCAGGCTGAAGCTGTGTGGTCTGCCCTCCACAGGCCCCCACGGAGCCACATCCCTGTGTGAGGGCAGGGAGAGGCAGCACTGGCTGGCAGCCCCTCCACGGGCCTGTCTGCTGGTTTCTCCTCCACCAGGAAGCACACTCTACCCCTGAAGGGAGGGCCTGTGGGTTTCGGGAAAAGCACTAAGCAGCCCACAGTGGCCACAGGTCTCCCAAGTGCCCTCTGACTCTGCGTCCATCAGTGACTGAAAATGTGGCTGGTTTCCATCTACTAATTCCTGCCTGTTTCTGGATTTCCAGCGCAAGAGGAAAAGAGAGATACTATTTAGTGGCTCCCCAGATCCAAACATGGGATACAAATAAACCCACACGTAGACACACTCTTGCAAAACCACACGTGACAGAGGCAGTGAGAGAGCCGGGGGGGAAGGTGGTGGGCAAAGGTGACGGTGACACCGATGGCAGGCTCTTCTCACCCACGAGGCAGCAGTGCCGCAGCAGCATCCACGTGTAAAGGCCACGCCACGTGGAGTCTATGTCCACAGACATGTTCACAGAGGGCAGGAATGAAGGAAACGCAGGGTGGCACAGTTTCGGGACCTTCCAGTCCCCATGGTGGTCAAACCAAGAGTCCTTAGATGGCAAAACCAGAACCCCAAGGACAACACTACAGCATCCCAGGGACAAAGAAGCCTTGGGACCCCAAACACAAGGGCTGGGACAAACCCCCAACGGCCACAAGTCACACATCACGTCCACTTCTGCGGGGGTGAGGCAGCCATCAGCAGTGGGTGGCCGTGGCCGTCAGCTCTGAGAACGGGACAGCCCCCAGGTGCCCTTGCTCTCTTGGGGAACCCAGTGGGCCAACCAGGAAACCACAGCCCTGCCCCTCCCATGAGGGTGAGGCCAGGGGCCCCTGTGCAGTCTGGAAAAGCTGAGGCAGCCCTGCGATCCCCCAGAGCTGACCTGCCTGGTCCCTTCTACAACAGAGCCTACACCAAGAGGAACAGCTGGTGTGGGGTCAGGGTCAAGGTCAACCAGGACGACGGCATCACAGAAGGGTGGAGGAGAGAACAGGGCCTGAGAATCCCCAAAAGGAGACTGCCCTATCCTTGATCCATGAGGTCAGAAAAGGTGCCCTGACCCTGCCTCCTTGAAATTCAGAAGCATAATTTTCATGTAAAAAGAAGCAGAAAGTACTGAAGCCAAATCCCAGTTTCTGTAAGGCAAAAGGTCAGGGCACAAGAACAGCCCTACCACAGTGAAAGCCACGCCCCCAGAATGGACCCACACCAGAACCACTGTTTCAAAATAAGCTGAAGACAAAAAGGAAATGACAGAAGAAACGAAAAACAACGTAAGTCACAATCAGAAATGTCAGAAAACAGAGGTCTGAACTCGGGGAAGAATTAGCAATAAAATAAAAAATTCACACGGCAAGTGAAGTTGCTAAGAAGGAGTGTAAGGGAAAGTCCAGCAAGTCCTCGCTTCGTGCTGATGGTTCCGGAAACGGCCACAAAGCAAAGCAACCACCGTAGAACGAAGCCGAATTCACCATCCACACAGGCTGCCGACAGGAGCAAGAGTGACGCTCCCACAGCAATTTCTAGTCACAAGAACATCACCAAACCGCCAAAGACCAAAACACCTCTAATAGTAAACATTAAAATAAACGGAAGCAATGCATACATTTTAGAGCCAGTAACAGACAAGTTAGATCATAATTTACTGCTGCAGCCCATCCCAGCGGCTCAGGGCGTGAAGCGGGGACCAGCCCTGATCAGACGTCATCGCACGGCGAGCGGCTCGTACCTGCGCTCACTCGGGACGGGACGGGTCAGACACGCCAACGCCCTGGTGTGCACGGCTTCGGGGCATGGGAGGACACCAGCGCCCCCAGAGAAACCACGGAGCCGGGAGAGCAAGCCACACACACAGTTCTCCCGGGCAGAGAACTGATTGTTTTTTCTCATCACCTTTCTGACGAAATGATGTTGAATGAACAGTTATTCAAGGACCTGTTGTAAACATAACAATGTCTTAAAGAAACAGAAGATAGAAAAGCAAAATTTGTAAATAAAAAAGAAGACTCTAAGGAACTCTTACCACTCAATAAAACCACCCAATAAAAACCAACAGGCGGAAGATGTGAGGAGACGCTGCCCCAGAGGACAGAGCGGCCACAGGCCTCATCTGCAGCTGCCTCCCTGCCACACAGGCCACGGCTGGTTGGGACAGACACCATGAGGCCCACACGCCCTGAAACAGTTAATACCTGGACTTCAAGAAAAAGCCTGTGAGCCCTGAGAGGTTAGACCAGGAAAAGATGCTCCACTGGTCATTCTCAGGGAAGTATGAGTTAAAACTTCCAAGAAACTCCATGCCACACAGAGAAGGTTACCATGGACAGCAGACTCCATCGGCACTTCCTTATTTAAAATCCAGGTATCTGAACTTGAAATACTGAAAACGCTTTTGTAAAAATAGCAAAATAGAACAAAAAAAGTGAAGAGAGGGAAATGAGAAAGATCTGGATCTGGATGAAACAGTGACCACAGCAGGCCTGCTCGGGAGAAACACGGGTTCCCCAGAAATGCAACCCGAATCTGTAACGCTGAGACGCTGGGCAACAGGCTCATTCACCGATTCGACGGCAGCATAACCGTGGGAGGACGCCAGACAGGAGCAGCGAATCCCATAGTGACCAGGCCGCTCCAGCAGCTGCAGCCCTGACACCCTGTGCTGAGGGGAGGACGGCCGGGCAGGGGGAGGACAGAGGTGGCCTTGCCTCCCACATCCACGCCAGGACTGCCCCAGACACGCGTGTGTGCCATAAACTCCGGCCAAGGCAGCCTCCATGCCAGCCAGCAAGGCAGGGACTCGGCTCCCCACTTACCAACTGTGTCTGCTGCTGCTCGCCTTCCTCGTTACCTAGGCACATTTGAACGCTTACAGTTTACAAAATGACCAAACTTACCAGCGATCTGTAAATTTAACGTGGCTGCAGTGTCTGCACTCTTCACTTCCTTTTTCATACTCAACAAAAGCGATTTTAAGCTACTGTTCTCTTCCAAAGATTTATCTAAATGTTGTCTCAAATCATCCTGGGGACACAGAAAATACACTTAAAATGCACAAGTCAAATTCAGTAAAATGTGTATAGAAAATAAAACTGAAACCTTCTGCGAATCCCCAGAGGGTTCCTTCTGCATACTTGGAGTCACGATGCGAAAGGCAATAATTCGGTTTCATGGCACATCTCCCTGCCTCCAGCCTGCCTGCCCAGCCCTGCAGCACCCTCAGGGGAGGGGGCGAGTGAGGAGAGGGATGGAAAGGAGCGCCCCAGCCCCGTGAAAGCCCCACTCCCGAGTCTCCCTGAGGCATGTGCTCCAGCAGGACCCGCAGGCCTGATGCTGGGCAGGGCAGCCGGTGGTGGCTGGGGGAGCCCTGCCTCTCCCAGGACGCCCTCACAGACACTGTGGGTCCCAGGCCTTGGTGCCAGTGTGAGGCACAGGTGGCCCTGCAGGAATCCCCTTTTGTTCTAGCTCCTTTCACATCCTCAAAGTATGGAGAAGACCCAGAGCACAGGACGAGCTGTCATCAAGGAGGGGAAAGGGCCATGCCTGCAGCCACACGGCAGCCTCTGCCCCTCCCCGGCCCCAGGGTGCCTGGTGAGGTGTGAGCCATCCAAGCTGCCAGCAGCTGCGTCCAGGGTCCCCAGGGATCCAGGCTCACCAGGCTGCTGCTCTCTCAGGCACCAGCAGGCACATCCTGGGGCCGGGGGTGCTGAGCAGACCCCAACTGACTGCCACCAGGGGAGGGAGCGCCTGAGTCTGTACAGCAAAAGCCTCGTGCTGGGGGTGTCTCCACTTTGTCCTCCGCTCAGGAGCCCACCCGCCGACAGCCCCCTCAGCACGCACGCGCCCGCCAGGCCCCGACGCCCATGGTGAAAGCTGATCGCTGGGTCTGAGACCGTCCCCCTCAGGCTTATCCTGGCCAGTTCTTCATTTCACGGCTTCTGCCAACGTGTCTGCTGCAGTGGTGCCAACCAGCACGACCTGCCCTCCGTGCGGTGCTTTGGGTCGTCCAGAAAGCTCCTGGCAGCGTCACGTCTCATGGTTTTGCCTCCCAAGGACGCGGTGAGCAATTAAGGCAGGGCTGTGAGCTCCCAGCTCTTTTTCATTAGTTTCTTTGAGGCAAAGTCTTGCTCTGTCGTCCAAACTGGAGGTCAGTGGAGCAATCACAGCTCACTGCAGCCCCCAACTCCTGAGCCTCCTGCCTCTACCTCCCAAAACAGCTGGGATGACAGGAGCGTGCCAGCACACGCCTAGCTAACTGTTTAATTTTTATTTTTTGGAGTCTAGGCCACAGCAGGCGCAGGGAACAGAGGACCGACTGCACCCAGGCTGGGCGCAGCCCATCTGCCTCGGAGGCCGTGCCAGGCACAGCAGCTGGGAGTGGGGCCACCTTTGCCTCAGGACACTGGACTGCAGCTTCCGAAGGAAGCACGTTCGAGGTTGATGCGACCGAGGGATGAGCGTCCTCACGTGGCAGAGTAAACTTGGGTGCTTCTGGAGTGACAGATGTGCGCCTCCCTGGAAGGCAGTGCCCACCAGCCTGCCTGGCTGCTCCCTCCGCGGGGTTCCTGACTGTACTGACTGCTCCTTACCCGCGGGGCCTGGGGCTGCCAGATCCTTCCGATCACTCGTCCTGACAAGGAACCGGGGCTGCTCTGTCCTGTGGCCCAGGGCTGCCCCAAGGGACAGGGTTGGGCAAACTGCAGAGGGCGAAAAAGCAGGCGTCCACAGCAGCCACAGCTGCACGTGACTCTCACCCCTGGTGACACTGGCGCTCAGCACACCTTTGGGCTCCACCTGTCGGCTCCATCTGGTCTCAGGCTCAGAAGGGCAAGGGGTGTGCCCGGCTGCGTCCCACAGAAAAGACATCACCGGTGATGGCGCCCAGCTCACTTTCCAGACAGCGGGCCAACGTGTGTTAAGTACAAAGGCTTCCAGACCGGGGGCCATGTGTGTTTAAATACAGAAGCTTCCAGAGAAGGGGCCACATGTTCTTAAATCCAGAGGCTTCCAGAGGAGAGGCCACATGTGTCTAAACAAGAGGCTCCCAGACGGGGGCCACGTGTGTCTGAACAGAGGCTCCCGGACGGGGGCCACGTGTGTCTGAACAGAGGCTCCCGGACGGGGGCCACGTGTGTCTGAACAGAGGCTCCCGGACGGGGGCCACGTGTGTTTAAATACAGAAGCTTCCAGAGAAAGGGCCACATGTTCTTAAATCCAGAGGCTTCCAGAGGAGGGGCCACGTGTGTTTAAATACTGAGGCTTCTGGACAGGGGGACATGTGTTTAATGCAGAGGCTTCTGGACGGGGGGATGGGGCCCACGTGTGTTGAAATACAGAGGCTTCCAGATGAAGGCCACGTGCTGAGGCTTCCAGACCCGGCCGGGGGCGGGGGTGGGCGGGGCACGTGCGTTTAATCAGACACTGCCTGTGTTGCTTTGTCATCTGTACTTTTTCTTCTCTAAAGAGGAAGCGCTGTGTGGGATCTCTGAGATGTAGGTTCCCATGAAACAGATAGTATGTACTTGTCAGATAAGTTCAGAGGCAGTTTTCGAAGCCGTCCCGGGCCGACTTCACTCCCATTTTACAGAGGCTAACAAGGCCCCTCTGGGTGTGCACCTCCTCACATGGCTCTGCCCTCACACCAGGACTCCCGGAGGGCGGCTTCTGCCTGAGTGTGGCTCTCTGACCACCAGCTCCCTGTCCTGAGGATGCCAGCAGCCCATGGGGAGGCCCTTGCAGTGTGGAGGGAGCCTGGGAGGATCCTGCCCCATGAGGCCTCAGACGAGACGGTGGCCCTGGCCCACGGCTGAGACGGAGCCAGACGCACCTGGCTGAGCTGAGCTGAGCCTCAGGCCCGACCCACAGAAATCCAAGGGGATAAATGTGGGTTTTCAGCTGTTCATTTTGGGGTAACTTGCCCTGTAGCCCCAGCTCACCATGGAACACTGGCCGTCATCTCCTTCGTAAAAGGAGAGTGGCCTCAGTTGTCTCCAATTTGAGGCCCTGAGAGACGGGTCAGCAAGACAAAGTCACGTCCAGGCCTGGCTCCCGCAGCGCCCAGCAGCGCCCGGTGGTCCGGGGGAGGACGCACAGGCAGGGCAGCAGCAGGGACCCTGCGATCACCTGGTACACTGGACCTCTCGGGAGGGGACGGGGGAGACTGCGCCAGAGGACGGGGACTAAAGATCGTCTCCAGCTGGCGTCACCCCTGCCCGCCTCCCCAGCCCAGCCCCTATGAGGAGAGAAGGTGGCCGGCGCCACGGCTGTCTCCAAAGTGCTCCAGGCCTGTTGTGAGACAGGGCAGGCCACGTTCCTGGGGGTGGCTGGGTCCCGGGCAGGAAGGGCAGACGTGGGGCTGCAGAGATGGCGGTTGGGACAATGTGGCCTCAAGGAGCTGCCCTCGTTCCTGGAAGTCAAAGCCGTGTTTCCCCCAGTCACGTGGACACAGACACGGCGCCAGGGCGGGCTCACCAGCTCCTGGCGTGTGCGTTGCAGCTCTGCCGTCGCCTCGCTCATCTCCTGGGCGTGCCGCTGCTGCTGCTCAGCAAGGCGGCTTTGCAGGGACTTACTCTCCAGAGCCAGGGAGCCGACGTCTGCACCCACCGTCGCAGAGCCGTCCTGAGCCGCTGTGAATTCTTCAACAGATGACAAGATGTGTCTTGCCTGAGCTAGGAGTGAAAATCAAATATTACACTAGCACTCAGGCTTAAAAGATGACATAACAAAATCAGCTCAGTATGTTTTGAATCTCACAGACGATGCTTCAAAAAGACGGCAGGCAGGGAGGGGGCAACAGGGTGTTGGCGCCACAAAACCACCTTAGGCTCTGTGCGTCCACACACGGGCAGGGTGGGAACTGAAGAAAGAGAAGAAGTGACTCCCAAGAAAAGGGGCAAATAGGGGCCGCTGCGCCTCAAGGTTTCAGAGGCACTGCCGCAACTCGCTGCGTCTTCCACAAGCACCAACCGCCCTGTGTGGAAACCGCAGTGCGGACGCCAGCTGGCAACCCCACACTGGGACAGTGGCCTGGGCCTGGGACAGTCCCCCTGCCACCAACGACAAGCTCAGGCGGCTCCTGCAGGACACCAGCCTAGGGAGAGGGGAGGTTTACAGGGCTGGGGTCCGGGTGGGCTTCGACTGCAGGGCGTCCTCATTCTAGGAGCTGAGGGGCTACGACACTGCGAGGGGCACTCAGACAGCTCAGAGCTGTGCCCAGGGTCTGCCGGGAGAGCACACTGGCAAGGCTCCTGAGGGACACACACAGCCACACCCCAGGCTGCAGGACAAAGAGAAGGTGCCCCAGGGACGCGGCATCTCCTGGTCTCCCAGTGTGACCCCGGATGAGGGAGGCCCCAGTGTGCTCACGTACGGGTTGCCTGGCAGAATCAAACAGACCCAAGTCCTCTCTGGGGAGGGACCACCCTCCTGGGCCCCACCCCGACCAAAAGCTCTGCAGTCCAGGCCCAGCACAGGCCACATGTCCACGTCAGGGGAGAAGATGCTGAGCAGCTTCCAAACTCCAAATCCCCACGTGAACACAACCTTCAGAACCAAGCCCCTTTGGACAGCATTTTGAGCAAAACAAGGTCACAGGTCCCCCAACACCCCAGAGCACAGCAGGGGGGACACAGGCCCAGGCCCATGTGGTGCCTCCCAAGAGCCCTGGCCGCTGTGAGAGGCGGAGACTGCCAGGGAGGGCCCAGGCATGGGACCACCACACGCTTGTGGGAGGGGACACAGGACACCTGGGGCTGAGATGACTCTCAGGTCACCAAATGCAGAGGACCCCAGAACCCACACAGACGCTGCCTGGAGGGCAAGAGCAGCGGCCACCCTGACTCACTGAGGAATGCCTCGTTGCTGTGCAGGGACCTGCAGCCACCCCAGCTCCTGTCCACCAGGTCCAAGAGCGTCTCCAGGAGTGCCGCCTGCAGGGTCGTCTTCTTCCCGGGTAGAGCCGAGCGTGACCCAGGAGATGGCTGTGATGGAAACAAAACCATGAGGCCAGTGAGTCAGTAACTCACTGGTAACTGAGGTCCTGAATGCCAGCAGGTGCCCCGAGCACACCCTGGGATGCCTTCGCACCACGGAGGGGAGGGCAGGTGCTGTGAGGCCCCAGCCCTGAGCTAGGTGGAGGGCGGCTTAGCAGTGCCTGCCCAGTGAGGCTTAGCCAGGTGCACCGGTCCTGGATGAGTGAGGTCTCGATGACACGCCAGGACGGGGCCCACACATTCCCAACTCAAGCAGGCCCCAGACTCCTTCCCTCAGCCCAGACAGGGAAGCGGAAGACACGCCCAGGCCATGGTCGGAGCCTGCGCTGAAAGGGAGCCGCCCTGGAAGCAGCCCACGGTCAGGCGCCCACGGTCAGGCGCCCACGGTCAGGCTGGCAGCGTGCCAGACACTGTCCCCAGCAACGGCCCAGAGTCAAACAATAACCCTGAAACAGACTACCTGCCTCCCCCATTTCTGCCTCCCTTCTAGCTCAGGACCTGCCAGGGACGTCAAACACGCCCCACTCAGCTCTAGAACCCCTGACCCTGTGCTGCTAGGGAGCCGCCTCCAGCTCCAGCCATGCCTCCCTCCCCGTCCCACAATTCCGCACCTTCCCGCTCCTCTGCCTGCCCGGGAGTCTGAAGCCCTCGTTGTGGTAAGCACCAAGTGAACAGCCCCTGCCTGTTCCCCTCTGGGGGGTCTGCGTGCGTGTCTACAGCAGGTGTGTCTCAACACCTCTGACTGGGCCTGTGCCAGTTGTCCCCCCGGCCTCTAGGCCACCCTGAGGACGGAGGAACTCGGTCTCTCATCACAATGACCTCCAGGATCCTCCCTTCATGACAGGGTCATCAGTGGCTCAGCCGGCCAAGATGCCCGATTCCAACTTTGGAGACAAACGCCCCGTACGCCGTAAGGCAGAGTCCCCCCTCTCCACCACAGGCTTCCACTCAGAACAGCACTGCAGGGGCAACGTGTGGCACAGAGGCACACGTCCAACAAAACCCAGCAGCAAGCGCCCTGGAAACCTAAGTGTGATGGTTCCCTTTATCCTGGGACACGGCCAGTGCCGTAGGCGTAATCACGGCATTGCCAAAGCCGTACCACCCCCACATTAGGAACAGGGCACCGTGGGCCTCTGCCCCCCAGCCCTTCTCTCACCTCTCTGGTGTCGGTCATGCCCCGAGACCTCTGCTCCTCAGTCTCTGAGGCCTCAGGCTGAGACAAGGTCCTCCCACTCCTGCTTCCTGAGCTGTTCTGTCTGCTTAGGCTCTCCTCGGCCACGGAGGACCCGTGAGTTCTCTCCAGGCAGCCCAGACCCTCCTGGTCCGAAAATGCCTGGAATCTTCCACCAGGCATTCTTCGCTTCCTGCACTTTCCGGGGGCTGGCAGGGAACCAGGCACCATTTCCGCTGACAAATCCAACTTCTGAGGAGAGGCCGAGTCCTCCGTATCCACGGAGTCTGCAATACAGAGAGGACGGGGCCCGCGTCAGGCCACATTCTCTGGGTGCCGTGTTCGGCACTGTAACTTTTAAAAGGCATGTGTGTGCCCGTGTACATACGCACACGGACACACACACGCACTTACATATGTACACGCATACCCATCCACGTGCATATATACATCCGTCCACCTGCACAAAGACACACGCAGAGGGAGGGTGCCGAGGGAGGAAGGGGCACACAGGAGCACACGTGCTAACACGCGAACTCTGGGGGAGTCTGGATGAAGCAGACCGGTACCGCCCAGCTCAGCGTGTCCACCCCGTGATGACTGCCATGCAATACGCTTCAACAAAGCGTTCCAAACAACATCTAAGGACACATCCATCTCTGAAGACAGGCGACAGACTCAACGGTCCATAAAGTGGTGGGTCCTGGGCACAGTGCTGACCACGAAGGCCCCGCGACACACAAGCCCCAGGGGAGGGTGAACTTGTCTGTGGAAGGACAATGAAGGCAGGAGAAGGCACCAAACGGGCACAGCCCTGGCCTCCACCACAGCCTGCACAACTCAAGATGACCCACCACGTCCTGCAGTGGCTGACAGACGACCTGGCTAGTCCCCTGCTCCTCACCAGCCGGGCATGAGCGAGCTTCCAGGAGGTGCCAGGGTCACTCGAGACGAGGCTTCTCTCTTTTTTTGAGATGGAGTCTTGCTCTGTTGCCCGGGCTGGAGTGTAGTGGTGCCATCTCGGCTCACTGCAACCTCCACCTCCCGGGTTCAAGTGATTCTCATGCCTCAGCTTCCTGAGTAGCTGGGACTACAGGTGCCCACCACCATGCCCAGCTAATTTTTGTATATTTAGTAGAGACCTGGTTTCACCATGTTGGCCAGGCTGGTCTTAAACTCCTGACCTCAAATAATCCGCCTGCCTCGGCCTCCCAAAATGCTGGGATTACAGGCGTGAGCCACTGTGTCCGGTCTGCTTGCGGCAGGAGCTTTTCTGATACTTACTCCACACAGGTGAGCATCACATGGTATCACGTGACGCTCTCGGTTACCTTTTCTCGCCTTTGACTTTCAAAATGTAGTTACAGCCATAACCTGGGCCCATACACATAAAAGAAAGTGTGTGTGCGTTGGTGAGGGGTGAGGGTAGGGAAGAGGGAGGGTGTGCACACACACACACGTGCAGAGAAAAAGCACCTATTTACCAACCATGAATCTAAACCATGAATGGATTATAACTTTCAATGTGCTGCATTCTTTCCAAAGACATTTTGGAGGGTTCCACAAACAAATACAAAGAGAACAGGAGAAATTTCATAGTAAAAGCAAACATTGTGAAAAATATTTAACTACTTAAAAAGGAACTGAAGGGAATAAAAGTTGACAGGGATTTCATGTTGCTACGGTTTGAAGGAATCCCCCAAAGTTCCTAAGTTGGAAACTTATTGCCATTGTAACAGTATTAAGTGGAGGGCCTTTAAGAGGTGATCAGGTCACAGGGCCAGCCCTCAGGGAGGCGGGAATGCTGTATTGCAGGTTTGGGGTCCTAATAAAGGATGAGCCTGGCTCCATTTCTCTGTCTTGAGCTTGCTGCCACCTGCGCCACGGGAGGACCAGCACCAGGTGCCAGCACTGTGCTCCTGGACTTCCCAGCCTCCAGAACCACGAGCCACATAAGCTTCTGTTCCTTATAAATTACTCAGTCCGCGGTTTTCTGTTACAGCAGCAGAAAACAGACTAAGACACGTGTAAGTACCTGGGTCTGGGGTGAAGTACACGTGTGGCCCGGGAGGCCGGGAGGCCTCCAGCTCTGCTCCGTACGGTGGCGGGAACTCTCCACAGGGCCGGCTCCATGGTGTCTTCTCCAGACGGCACCCTCTGCAGCTGCTCCTCCTCGTCTCGCGGCCCTGCTTCCCAGAGTCCCCACACTGGTACTGTACCAACTGCGGGCTCAATAGATATCTGGATTCTGTTTTATTAAAATATTGTAAATAAAATATTTCATAAAATACTGTAAAAATTTTATTTCATTAAAAATTACATTTTAAGCTTCTGAATAGCATACGATATCTGTTAGACTGAGGGGTTAATCACATACTGGTGACACCGGAGTGAATCCACAGTGACTCCTAACAACAGGAGAGCTGGGAACTGGGAACTGGCACCACTCGCCTGCGTGACTCAGGACAAGGCAGCAAGAATCAAGCCGCATGAAGTGGAGCAAAGTCAGACAAAATGATGCACAAAACAGAAGACAGAGTCCAGACAGTCTCAGGTCAAAAGTGTCAAGTAACTAAATGAGGAAAAAGAGTCTTTTCAACAAAAGGCATCAGAACAACTGAATGTACTTCTGTAAATGACAGGCAACAGAACAACTGGATGTACAGTCATTCCTCAGTCCCACAGAGGACTGGTTCCGGGCAACCCCCAGGGATGGCAAGAGTCAAGGACATGCAACTCTTTCACGTGAAATGGCGTAACTGTGTATAATCTGCACACATCCTCCCGTGTACTTTAAGTCATCTCTTGCCTACTTACAATACGATACATAACACAACATAAATGCTACCGTAGCTGGCCACGGTGGCGCGTGCCGGCAGTCCGGGAGGCTCAGGAGGCTGAGACAGGAGGATCGCCTGAACCCAGGAGTTTGAATCCAGCCTGGGCAACATAGCAAGACTCCATCTCTACAAAAATACAGAATAAATAAATGCTGTGTAAATAGTTATACTGTATTATTTTTTAATTGCAGTATTGTAATTTTCTTTGCTTTTTTCCAAATAGTTTTGATCCACGGTTGGTTGACTCCAGAGATTCAAAACCAGTGGATACAAACAGACAACTGTACATGTAGGGGGAATGTCTTGACTCGTTAACTCACAATACACACAAAAGCTCCAAAAAGTGAATTGTACACCTAGACACTAAGACTATGGGACAACTATAAGGAAACACGGGAGAAAATCTTCATGATCATGCGGTGGACAAAGCTTCCTTTACAGGGTACACAAAAGCCCAAACCATCAAAGGGAAGTACTCAAAAACTGGACCGTACTGAAATTAAAACTTGTGCCCTTCAGCCGGGTGTGGTGGCTTACCCTGTAATCCCAGCACTTGGGGAGGCTGAGGTGGGTGGGTCACCTGAGGTCAGGAGTTTGAGACCAGCCTGGCCAACATGGTGAAACCCCATCTCTACTAAAAATACAAAAATTAGCCAGGTGTGGTGGCGGGTGCCTGCAGTCCCAGCTGCTCGGGAAGCTGAGGCAGGAGAATCACTCGAAACCGGGAGGCAGAGGTTGCAGTGAGCCGAGATCGCGCCACTGCACTCCAGCCTGGGCGACAGAGCAAAACTCCACCTCGAAAAAAACAAAACACAGAACAAACTTGTGCTCTTCATAAACTGGACTGGACTGAAATTAAAACTTGTGCTCTTCAAAGCACTGTTCCAAAAATGAAAAGGCAAGCCACAGAAGGGAGGAAACTGGCAGCACTTGTGCCTGAGAAAGGGCTTGTCTCAAAACCACCAAGACCTCCTTAGGACTCCATACTAAGAGAAGCAACCCCAGAACAAAGGTGGGCAGACCTGGAGAGAAAAGAAGAGACAGACACGGCCAGTATTTCAACAGCAGCGGGATGCAAATTAAAGCCATAAACAGGTACCACAACCCCCTGACAGAGGAGCTAGGATTAAAGGACTCAGCGCCCAGTGCTGGCAGGGACGCGGCTCGGGCACTGCTGCCACAGGGCAGATGTCCTGGCACAGATGAACCTAAGATTTCAGCCCAAACTCAGGTCTCCACCTGTTGTTTCCATGAAAAGTTCTCAGAAACTCACAATAGAGGTGGAATAAATGAAGCTAAAGTCTATCAGCACGTCCCAGTGGAGGGCGGCACTGCCGGGCGATGGAGTCTCCGTGACACCCGTGTTGGGATCTGAAGGTCTACATGCGGCAGCCTGAGCTCAGGGTTTCCCACAAGCTCAGTGACTCTGCCCTCTGCGGCTGCCACAGACGTCAGCCCCACCTGCCACAGAACACCAGGCTTCTTGTCTATTGTAGACAGTTTGCCTTTTCCCGTGATCTCAGGACACAATTTAACCCATCATGCAGTATGACTATACTCAAATACGTTAACTTTGTCCTTTTATAAATCTGTAGTCCAAAAGGCTGGCATTCGAAAGCACACAAAGACATCATGAAGATCCTACCCTTAAAGGTAAGTCCCACGAAAAGCGCAGCTGTGCACTCCAAGGCCAGTGACCACTACTACATCCCAGAGCCCGCGGCCCCACAGGCCTCCTGGCGGTGAGCAGCGCACCTTGGGAACCACGAGAGTCGGCCTCGCGCTCCTTCTGGCTGGAGCTCGTGCTCCCGGGAGGCCTGCCGAGATCCCACTCGCACTCTGCAATGAGGTTCAGGACTGCCTTGTCATCCGCGTCCATGACCAGGCTCTGCTTGGCCAAGGCCTCGGTGCACTTAGCTCTGGGGCGGCACGGTCTGTAAGGAAAAGCAAACGCATCCACATCACTCAAGCCAGCCGTACACTCCAGCCCACACAGACCCCGCGAAGGAAAATACCTGCATGGTCTCCGAGGGGAGCAGTTTGGTGCAACCATGGGGCAGCGGGTCTTGTTGCTTCCACTGCGGTGATGCTGAAGAGGGACTCACCAAGGACGACTGGTGAGCAACGGCCGGGTCACGTGATAACATGACAGCATCCCAGCACTGGACAGACCCCACCAGGACTGGTCCAAATCCCAGCACTGGACA